AGAGGCTATTTTTCAGCAGGTAGTGATTGCAGAAGATCTATTTCCCTCTCTTGTAGCATTTTTCAGAGATAATAACACACCATATAATTCTAAGCTACTTTCAGGTGATGATGGCAGAGATGAAAGAAGAGGTAGGCAAACAGGGATGCCTACACCACATAGCGTGGTCTTATCGGGTGCTGCTGTTCCAAGTGCTTACACAGGAGATGATTGACAGCTGATGTATGTGCCCCCAGTAGGGAGGAGAGACTGTGTGAGGACAAGAAAAACAGTTTCAGAGAAAAAATTGCAGAGGTAGCTGAGAGAGCTGGCTGCTCTCTGAGCTGGAAGGGCTTGCAGTGAAAGATTAATAGAAGCTCCATTGTGTCAGGAAAACAAGATATGAGCAAGAAATAAACCCAAGGTGATGTGCCTTCTCTCAGCTGCACCGCCGGCCTCCTGCCCGCTGCAGAAGGGCGATTGCCCCAGACACGCCTCTGTGGTTACTCACGTGTCCCTGCTCCCACTTGGTGCCCTGCTCAGAGTTTCCAAGAGGCTTGCCAGTACCAAAGATGCTGCTTCAGCTTTTTACTCGTCCCAGCTGAAGCAAAAAAAGAAAGATAAGAGGGAATCACATGGCTGAAAGCAATTTTAAAACTCCGTCATTTACTTTTTTTTTTTCCCCCCATAACTCATTTGCCTTCCCACTGGGGTCTCCAGCTAGAACTTGCTGGAGGAAAGGCTCTTGTGCTGGCAAAAAGGGAATAAAGTGTAAGAGAAAGCAAGATGGAAGCTCAGTAGGGATAGAAGGGGGCTGAGTTTTTCTCCTCCTAAGAAACCATGGACCTTCACACTGTTTGACAATTATTTAATTTACCTGAGTGCTGTCTTACCACATGGTCTTTTCAGTGAAAAAGATTTCTGATCCCAACTTCCCTTTTCTTACAGCAAGACATGTCTTTCTATCAAAGCATTCAAATGAATCTCCATCTCTTCTTTTGAATGTATTCAACTTCATAGGAGACACAGTAAAGCAGGTCTTAGAGCCCAGTTATCTTCCTGATCGAGGACCAAACCTTTGAGCCAAGGAGCTGTTACCCAGTTGTCTCCGGCCCAGTAACTATTTGAATCAGGGTGGGCAGCTAGACCTGGGGATTACACAATGCTTTTTTTCTGATCCCTGAACTCTGATCAGGGTGATCTAGGAAACTTGGTCACCCTGAAAGATCTAAATGGTATATTTTGGAAATGTGTTATTCTTTCAAAAAATGTATCTGTCTAAAACCGTTCACTGGATTCAGCCAAACACTTGGCCAGGATCCCTATTTTGAGACACTTAGACATACCCTGCAAGAAGTGTCTCTCTTCTTAAACCTCAAGCTGTGAGATCTCCCCAGGTGGGATCACACAGTTGAACTCCAAGCGTTGGGCTTCAGCTCTGCTGTGCTAACTGTGGTTAGCTTTGCAGGCCTGCCTTTTATTTGGGAACTCATTTGGTTCCCTCCAGAAATCATGTTAATAACCAAACAATCTTCTTAAAATAACAGGAGTTTGTTTAGAACACAAGAATTTTAGAAAACAACAGCCAGACCATAAAGCAATAAACAAACTATCCCCATATGCAGCTAACTGAGCATGTCTATTTACCCTCCAGACAGGGAACCTCAATATTTTTAAGCTTCCTAAAACTCGTCCTTCCCTGCCTCTCCACAGAGGACCTCCAATCTGGATAGCACCGTTTCTGTTCTTAGCTCACTAACCTTTCTCTCTCCATTTCCTTCAGGGAAAGAACCTTTAAAAGTGTCTTTGTTTTTTGTTTGTAGCCCTTTGATCTGGTAACTCACTCCTCCAGCTGCTTGGAGACAGGAAATAGGTTTCACGAAGCTATTAGCTTTAGCCATTGTATTTTTTAAGTGTGTGTAAGGTGTTTTTTAATCCAGGAACCATTGTGATTGTGTTTGTGGTTTGTTCCAGCAGTTCCTATTAAATTAGGGTAGTTTAATTTGACAGGAAAGTCTAATGATTCATTGTAGCTATAGAGTAATTTAACGCCACTGGCCTGGTTACACACTGTATTTACCCAAATAATCCAGATTTAATATGCAATTCTTAGATTGTCACATAACAGCTTCACATCTGTGACTTTGCTGAAGTCAAGCCTTGTTTGCTTTTCAATGTCATAGGGAGGGTGAATATGAGGGCTTGAGAGTAGCTATAGTCAGTCTCTCTGGGTCCCTCATGTCAGAGCTTGAGTTTTCATGAGGTTATTACAGGCATGAAATAGCACCACAGATTAATAAATTTGATTGGCACTTCCCATTATAAAAGATTTGGCCGCTCAAGCTGTACTTCTCTTGTGGGTATCTGTATAGGAAGTTTCAGACAAAACTTTGGAGCTGTTTCAGACAAGGCTGAGGGAAAACACAATCTTTTGCCCACATTAATAACAGCTCTAGAAACTGTTTATCTGAAATACTTTAGATACCTTATCTTGTGGAGGAGGGGCTTGAGACTGGAAGAAAACAGGGAAGGAGAGAGAAGACCTCTGGTGTGGATGACTTGGGGTGTGCGTCATCCTTGCATGATGGCATGGTGCCATCCCAAGCAGAAGATAAGAACTTCTTCTCTATATCAGTGTCAAAAATAATGGTAATTTTTGAGTGGGGCACCGTGCGCTTAAGACTGCAAGACCCACATTTGCTATCTCAGTTGTTTCATCTGGCTTGCAGTCAACTGTCAGCAACACTGAGGTGTTTCCTTTCTCAGATGGCTCCCAAGGGAGCAACTCTACAAGCAGGATTTGATGCATGTGGCTAGGTCTCCCTTTAGTGGTGATGTGCAGCAACTATAACTGCCTGGGATTGATCCTACCTGCACGGATCACTTCTTTAGCAGAAGTAATGGGGCTTTCACTGATGGTCATGGGTTTGGTCTTCCAACTTCCACAGTTAGCTAGCACGCTTTCAAATGCATCCTCCCTAGTCTTCTTCAGGCCAACAATCAACAGGTAAGAGGCAGGACACAGCAGGTCATGAGGTTCTGGCCAAAAAAGAGTAGATGATCAGTAGGCTTTGGAGCAGGGCAAAGGTGTGCTGTCCTTCAGTAGGTGGAAGAGCTTGGCAGGGGTGGGGGATTTGGCTGTAAAGGGAAGAGAGATGGAGGATCTTGGAGTTCTGGAGGGAACAAAGCTTCTAGTGGGGAGGCAGAAGACAAGAAACAAAAAGTAGAATTTTCTTAGTTCCTGTCCCTCACTAAAAAAACCCTCAGGATGTTTATAGTGACAGAGCCAAGTTTAAAGATTTATACGGCAAGACTTGATACTAAAATTCTGAAAGATTCAGTAGCTAGTCACTACAGAACTGCTGTGAGCCAAATTCTGAAAAGCCTTAAACTTTGCTTTTTTTTTTTTTTTTTATGGTGATGTTCAGTCCAGCACCTGCCCTCTCTCCTGACTTACCCATTCTTTGCTTTTTCACAGGATGGAGGTACTGCTCTTCTAGCTGCTTGTCAGTATGGGCATGCAAAAGTAGTGGAAACTCTGTTGAAGCACGGTGCCAACATTCACGATCAACTTTATGTGAGTTATTTGACTCAGATAATATTGACAACACTGGTGGTGGAACAAATGTGCTGTTGGTTGGACAACAGCAGATACTCTGGCTCCAGCACAGAGAAGCATTTGCCAAATGTTGTGGGTTTATAGTAGTGTGCTCTTCTAAGATGTGAATTTTGTTAACTGTCTGCTTTTCATGATCCTGGGAGAAGTAGTACAAAATCAGAAAAGATATTTTGTCTGCTTTTTGGTTCATTATCTGTATGAACAGTATGTACCAAATCTGGATCAGATTTGTGCTATCCATTAGCCTTGAACAAAAGACCATGTCACATTCTACCACAATTTGCATTGCAGGCAGAAGAGTGAATAGCTACAAAGCCCCTGAGGTACCAGAGAATCACTTCATCAGTTTTCTGCCAGAAAGAGTAGTAAAAGTTAAAATCTTTAAATCTTTAAATATATTTAAAATATTTTTAAAAAATCAGTTAAAATGATGTTATTTGGTATTTGTGCATCTCTAGCTTGCCAGCATTTTGGGCAAAGAATGGTTAAAATGGCTGAACTGACATTGTTTAGTTGACTTTTCAGAAAGCTGGATTGAGCCAATGAAGCACTGGATTTAATTTACTTCCACAGAGACACAAATAAATTGAGCTTTTCAGCATTCAACAGAAACGAGTGGCAGATTTTCCCTCCACTTCCCACCACTCTTTA